CTACAACTCTTTACTTGATTTTTAAGCCTACGCGTAAAATATTTGAAAAGAAATTAACAATATTAAAAAAAGTTACTAAGTTAAAGTGATAAACCAAATTCATTCTTCAAGTTACGCAAGGCTTGAACCTAATAGAAAAGTTGCTTGATGCTAGATTTCAAGTGCTGCTATTGTAAGAAAATAGTTCATAACATTACACGTCATTTGTTTCTTCTTGAATCTTCTTTTGAAACAGAAGACAATAAAGTTTTGAGCCCGGCTTGGTGGATAGTTTTTAAAAAGGAAAAGAAAAACAAGGCATTGTAACCCAGCTTTTGTAGTTGAAGTTTGTTCTTAGTGAATTCAAGTACTCTGTGAAGCTCAAGGTTGTGAGAAACGAACTAGCTGCCTTAAGGTTGAGCAGTGGGATAGGAGAACGAAAAATGGCGTCGACAAGGCCGCCACTAGTAAATGAAAGGTTTGATGTAGTCGAAGAGTATGTTTACAAAGACATGGTCAAGCAAAGCAGTCCGGGGTGAGCACAGCGGTTCGGAAACACGTGGTAATGAATCACATAAAATATTTAACGTATTCAAATTAATTTACATCGTCTATTATGTGCTACAAAAGTAAACAATATGTAACGCCAAGCATAAGAATAACCTTTGATCAATGAGCTGATACAAGTTCGTAGGTACTTGTCTTTCAAAAAGTTCGTAGGTGCTTGTGGTACGTGTTCAAATTTACATATATGTGGGCATGAACTTATTTTTCAGAACCAGAAGTAAAATGATGAATTTTGTATTTTTTTTTCTTTTATTTTTGAAATCATGGTTGGAATCATGGGCACGGTCTAGGGCACAGCATTTTTTAATGTGATAGATTTGGATCGTCAACAATTTATAGAAAACAGTTTAGTCATCATCTTTTGGAAGGTGGACAGACGAAATTATCTAGAAAATTTATGTTTGAATTTGAAAAAAATACTTTGGGACAAATCTTTTGGATCATTTTTAGAATATTTTATTTTGAATATTTCTTATATCTTTAGAATGTTTTTAGACTATAAATATCTCTTAGAGTGAAGCTTTTGAGTATGTACTTTTTCTTCTTCTTTTGATTTATAAAATTTGTCACGTTTTATTTTATAAAAGTTATTTTCTTTCATCTTTTATTTTTACTTTAATTTTTATTTTATTTTAAAATATGTTAAGTATGATCTAAATCACGCTTAACTAAATTCTCATTTAGCCAAAGGTTTAGCGATGACTCGGTTCCTATTGTGATAACTGAAAAACAATTAATATCTTTAGATATCATTCTTGATTTTCTGAAAACTTGGATTGAGAATGACATTTCCTTTAATAATCTCGACACTTTCATTTCAAAAAGTGCATGTTGACCTAAATGTTTGTTTTGATTTACTATTGGAAGGAAAAAACGATTGGTTGTAATTCAAATTCTTGTGAACAAACTTAGCGGTAGTCCGCTAAGGTGAATCGAGATCGGGTTCGATTCTTAGTGATACAATATAACTCGAGTTGGGCTTTTCCAACGCTTAAAGACATATTGGTGTTAACATTGATAATTGTGGTTAGTCCAACAATGACTGAATTGCAGAGATAGACTTGGGAATATCGGTTTACCGGAGAGAAAAGTAGTTGAAAGTGTTGAGTTTGTAAACTGTAACCTTCATGTATCCGGAAGTAAAATATCTTTTGATGATTAATTGAGAATTGAGTCAAAGCGAAGCTTGATGTTATTTTTCATCTCATCATATTCTTTTCAAATTTTACTCTTATTTTATTTTTACCATTTTTAGATTTTTACTCATTTATTTTTAAAACCCCATTTTCTTTTATTTCTCGTCAAATTCAGATCAAAACATTCAACATTGGAAACTTACTAGTCCTTACGGATCAACCATACTTCTCTATATTGTCTTTTCATTTATTTATTTTAAGAAATAGAAATCGTTCATTTGATAATTACAATGCTTATCACTCTTTAAGAAGAAGAAGAATATGAAAAGTCAAATGGTTAGTCAAACATGCTAAGTCATACGGTTTAACGTGCCACTTCAGTATTCAACAGTAACGACGGTTAACGACGAGTGACCGATTTGTAATAAATCGATAATGTTAATGATTAATTTGTTACTTTTGAAACTTCAATGGGAAAAACAAAAGCTTACTTAAACATCAGTGACCATTTTTTGTAGTTTACCCCTTTTTATTAAGTCGTTTTTGCTAAATTTTAAGGGTAAACTATGTATTATCACTTAAATTATCAATTTTAGTATGTTTTAATACATAAACTTTCAAAATTTTCAAAATCATACCTAACATTTAGTTTTTATTTCATTTTAATACCTCACCATTAAAAATTGAAAGCGTTTAGTACTTAAACTATCAATTTTGGCTTGCTTTAGTACCTAAACTTTTAATTTTTTAAAATTTAACGTTAAATTTTGAACATAAATGCTAAAATGAAACAAAAACTAAACTTTAGGTATAACTTTAAAAAATTAAAAGTTTAAGGTACTATAACAGATTAAAACTAATAATTTATATTAAACTCGTAATTTATCCAAATTTTAAAAGGGTAAACTACACGTTTGGCAATGGCAAATGAACTTTACTCTCTCCCCTCCTATTTCACTCATTGAACTTTATAGATAGAATTTTTTGTCACTCTACAGTTAAATAATTAAAGGTGTTATGACATGGTTATATTTTAATCAAAACGACATCGTTTTAGTCTAAAATTTGATTCTTTTAGGAAATCAAAACAATGTCGTTTTGATGGAAGCTGCCATGTCATAACGCCGTTTAATTATTTAAAAGCACAGTGATAAAAAAATTCAATCAATAAAGTTTAGTGAGTAATTTGAAAAAATTAAAAGTACAATAAGTGAAATAGGAGAGAGTAAAGTTTCGTTGCCAAACTCATAATTTACCCATTTAAAAAGGAATTTTTAATAAAAGGGTAAACTATACCATTGACCACTAAGCTATTTAGCCCTTTTATTTTTACTGTAATTCTTTTAATTTTGTCAATCAGACCACTTAACTGTTTAATTGTTGTTAATCAAGCTACCTGCCATTAACAGTTGGTGAAAATGCTAACGTGGTAGTTAAAAAATTGAAATAATTCTATATTTAATCCTCAATTCTTATATATTATATTAATTTGATCTTATGTCACAACATGAATGAAAGATATATATTTTTTAATTTAATTAATTTATTTTCCACCCAATCACATGGTGACACAATCGGAATGTATGGAAAAATGATAGTAATTGAAGATATTTGAATGGGTGGCGGTGAGCATCAAACATGGGCAAAGTTGTCTGGTCTTAGAATGCAACATATAAATTATAAGATATTTAATGAATGAAAAGAAAAGTTTTAAAAAATAATAATAATATCATATATATATATAAATATATATATAATCATTAATTTTTTTTGTAATTTAAGTAACAATTTTAATTTTCTTACTAATAATTATATAAAAAATTAATTTATTTTTATTAAAATATTTATGAAATTATTTAAAAAATTAAAATATTTGATAGAATTAACAATAATATATATAATCATCCAATTAAATTTTAACTTAAGTAACAATTTAAAAAGTATATTAATAATTATATATATATATATATATATATATATATATATATAGACACACACGAGATTATTACTTTTTTTAATTTTTTTCTTTCATTCATTAAAGTATTTTATAAGTTATATTACATTTTAAATTCAAATTGTGCTCCTAGCTTTGTGGTTTGGGGATGGGTTTCTAACTCAATCTTCCCCTGGTTTGTTCCTCATTGTGTTTTTTTTGATTTCTTTATTTACTATCAATTTTCCATCTAGTTCGATTGTGACATGTATCACCATATGATTGGGTGGAAAATAAAATAATAAAATTTAAAAAATATATTTCATTCATGTTGTGACACATGTCACAATCTGATTAGATGATCAAATTTATTAAATTAAATTAAAATTACGATTAAATTGATATAATATATAAATATTGAGGTCTAAATATATAATTATACTATTTTTTTAACTTTCGTGTCAATATTTTCGTCAACTGTTAACGACAGGTGGTTGATTGATAATAATTAAATAGTTAAATGATATGATTGATAAAATTAAAAGATTGATAGTAAAAATAAAAAGACTAAATAGTTGAATGGTCAATAATATTGTTTACCCTTAATAAAAAGAACCCAATATATTGGGCGGCCCATTATCTGGAAAAGAAAGCTTGATTAAAAAAAATCAACTATTCACTTTTCGTTCTTATACGTGTAGGATGGGCATCCGACGAGTTGGAATTTGACGGATTTTAATCTGATCGAGTTATATTTTTTTTTTAATTTGGATTTGGGTTAAGTCAGATCGAATTTTTTTATGTGATATTTGAGTCGGATCAAATTCAGATTTAAGGTGAAAAAAACTTGACCCAAAAAATATAATTTTATATTATATATTTAAGAATAATTATAATAATATCTCTCTATATATATTTTTAATTAATTATTATTTTTATTAAATAAAAATATTTTTTATTATTTCGAGTCGGGTCAGATAAAATACGGATTAGATGAAAATTTATTTAATTAGGTCTCGGGCGGAGAACTCCTTATTCTCGGATCGGATCGGTGGACAAAAAATCCGATCTCACCCTAACCATGGCCATCCCTATATACATGGACTCTGCTGCATTGTTCTCCACTTGCTCGTTGGCCAACGAGGTAAATTAACCATTTCATCCTTCCTTTTCAACCCATAGAATCTAATGCTTGCATCCGTCAAAGATAAAGCATTTGCAGAATTTGTTACTAATAATCCGATTATTCTTTTTTTTCTATCTCAGAACTATCTGCTTTTGACTCCTACTCATGCTTCTGCAAAAGGGTATATTAACAAGGCTGCGAGGTTTTGTAGTAATGGGGGACGAGGGTGCTTCCAAAGTGAGTAATGATGTTTCGAGGATGAGAATCCCACATGTTTTGACCGTTGCCGGCTCTGATTCAGGAGCCGGGGCTGGAATTCAAGCTGATCTTAAGGCTTGTGCTGCTCGTCGAGTTTACTGTTCTACTGTTATCACTGCTGTCACTGCCCAGAATACTGTTGGAGTTCAGGTTTTCTCTTCTTTGCAGCTTTTATTTTCAATGCTTCCAAACAAATTGGGTGTTTGGATTTTGGGTTTTTCTTCATTTGATGAATTATGAACCGCCGAACTTCATTAGCTTAAAGATTAATATTTTTGTATGGATAAAGATTCATGCTTTTAGTAGGATATGTATGGAGAACATAGGATTAGCTATGCCTATTATTATTGAATTAATGTTCAAGGTCGATATCTTTTTCGTTTATTTCATTGGTTAATTGAATATTTTGTTGATTGTCAGGGTGTAAGTAATGTACCAGAGGATTTCTTTGCACAGCAGTTAAAGTCTGTGCTCTCTGATATGGAGGTTGATGTGGTAATAATTACTGTGATGAGCTTTAAATACTTGATCAGAAGCAAATCTTACCCATAGTTTGGCCTATAACTATTTCCACTGAATGATTTTTCTGACTAATGACTTCAAAAGAATTCACCTTTATCTGATCATCAAAATGTTATTAGGTGAAAACAGGCATGCTACCTTCTATCGGCACAGTCAAGATTCTTTGTGAGATTCTCAGGGAGTTTCCTGTTCAAGGTTTGCAACATAAATAAAAATTTGGAAGTGTGATTTCCAATTTGCAATTTTAGTTGACTTTCTCTGGTAACCCGAAGGCAGCTTTGGTGGTTGATCCTGTCATGGTGTCTACAAGTGGGGATGTGCTTTTCTGGTCCTTCTATTCTTTCCACATTTAGGTAGGTTATATATAGATTTTCTCTTAGGGTTGATTATATATATATATGGCGCATTCTTAACTCTTAAGCTTTTTCGCTTTTGTCATTATTGTGTAAATTCGTTTTCCAGCTGAACTCATTTCATTTGAGGTTGCCATATGAACAGTTTTTGTTCTCAACAGTTGTTCTTCACTGTTTCATGCTTTCAGAGAGGTGCTCCTTCCAATGGCTGATATAATAACCCCAAATCTGAAGGAGGCAGCTGCTTTACTTAATGGTATGCTATTGGAAACATTGGATGACATGCGCACTGCTGCGAGATTGTTGCATAACATGGGCCCAAAGTGAGTTAAAAAGATTTCTTTCATTTTTTCCTCTTTTGATTTGTAATTATAAATTATATGTATGTTTGTTGCTTGAGAAGTGTTCTAGAATAGCTAAGGTTACAGTACTTTTAGCTTTTTAATGTAGAAGAGCAGTACTCTTAACTGAACCATAATCTCTGGACATCATGGCATAGAACTTCTGATTTTCTAGGAAGTGTAATTTTCGATGTTCTCTTTCTTATTAATTAAATGAAAACTTTGCACTCAACCTGTAACTTCATGTTTGGTGACAGCTAGGTAGATAGATACTTTATGTTTGATAATTTTTTGTTTCAGGAATGTACTTGTTAAGGGCGGTGACCTGCCTGATTCTTCAGACGCCATTGATATTCTATATGATGGTAGGCTTAAATTTTATGGTTCTCAAGCTAACTGTTTCCACCTTTTGATAAGGTTTGCACCGAAGGGGCTCTTTTATGAAGGGTTTTGATGACTGACCAACCTTTTAAATCTGACTTTTGAAGGTCTTAATTTCTATGAGCTGCGTTCCCCGCTTATAAGAACTCGTAACGCTCATGGCACTGGTTGCAGTCTGGCATCATGTATTGCAGCCGAGTTAGCAAAAGGCTATCCAGTGCTCTCAGCTGTTAAGGCAATTACTCTACTGCCGCTCATTTTCCTTTGTCTTGTGGGGATATGGCCCCCATTCTTATTCACTTGTGTTTTGGCAGGTAGCAAAACGATGCTTCGAAACTGCCTTGGATTACAGCAAAGAGATTGGTATCGGAAATGGACCTCAAGGCCCCTTTGATCATCTATTGAGGCTTAAGAGTCATTCTCAAGATTGTCATAGGCAGCAGCCATTTAGTCCAAGTGACTTGTTTCTGTATGCTGTTACAGACTCAAGAATGAATAAAAGGTGGGGTCAATCTATTGCTGATGCTGTTAAAGCTGCCATAGATGGGGGTGCTGATAGGGAAGCGGTGGCGGATTGATGAACGTTGCTCTTGTTGAAGAATCAAACCTAGAAAAGCTCTAGACTCGATGAAGAACAATAAGGAATGAATGAGGAAGGTGGCGACAATAGCTAGGGTTCTTTAGGGTTTCTTTTAGTGCTAGAAACAAGAAAAGAAACAAGATTAAAATAAGATAAACAAAAGATAAAGGAATTAAGAATAGAGAAAATAACCAAGAAATCAAAGATCTCCCTTATGAAAGTGAACGGTAAAAATGATTGATGGCGTGGATGGATGTGGAAAATCGATGGATAATGTCCTATCGAGCCCTCCTAGTCGCAATGAAAAGGCAAACACGATAATATGGCTCTAACCAACCCTCCTAGTCGCTATGAAAAGGCAAATTGGAGTGTGAAGATTAATCTCCCTCACAAGAACTTGAAAGAACTCCAGGAGAAGAAGCTTCGAAGGCACACGGCAATCACATGCAAAAACAAACTCTTGTTGTATTATTGATCAAAGAAATCTGATTTACAAGTTGAATGAAGCCTCCTTATATAGGGCTGAATTCTAAAAGTCCTAAATAACTAAAGAATAAAATATTAATAAACTAAACATGTTTTAACTCTAATTCCTAATAAAAATAATAACTAAAAATATTGTTTTAACCCAACCTTAATTCCTAATAAAATAATAAATCTGATCCTAAAAGATAATTAATCATCCTATATTAAATTATATTACAAATAATCAATATAAATATTGAAAATTCGTAATATTTACAAAATAACGTATTAATCCCGTCTAGGATTCCCTGCATGCACCGTCTTCAGTAAAATAACCATATCTTGAGTTCCCGATATCGGATTGATGCGATTCAAGAACCGTTGGAAAGATAAGAGACAGACGGTTGTATCTCCAGAAGACATGTCGACCGAATAACAACTGGATCCCCTTCAAAAAGTTGTTGCAAATCTGCTGCTATTAAACCCTTCCGGATGAATGCTTGAACTGCGATTTGAAGCTTGTCTTTAAAAAGTTTGGTCCGGCCTCGTGTGATAGGGCCAAGTGGTATAGTAAATTCATCATCTTTAGCTTTAGGGCATGTGGTGCATCTATCATCTCCCCCTTCCTTAAAAGGATTCGTCCTTGAATCTGAAATATCAAAAGGAGATAAGTCAGAAACATTAAAGGATGCACTCACGTTATACTCACCGGGAAGATCAATGCGGTAGGCATTGTCATTGATTCGTTCAAGAACTTGGAATGGGCCATCGCCTCGTGGGTCTCGCTAGGATTTCCTTTGTGTCGGGAACCTTTCTTTTCTCATGTGAACCCATACCCAATCTCCTGGTTCAAAGGTGACATGTCGTCGGCCCTTGTTAACTCGGTTTGCGATTGCCTCGTAGGTTTTCTCCATCTTGAGTTTGGCTTTGGCGTGAATGTCTTTGACAAGGGCAGCCTTCTTTTCACCATCTAAACTGGCAACCTGATCTAAAGGTAAGGGAATAAGATCCAAAGTAGTTAGTGGGTTAAAACCATAAACTATTTCGAATGGAGAATAATCTGTTGTGGAGTGAATGGATCGATTATAAGCAAACTCAACAAAAGGTAAACATTCTTCCCAATTACGGGTATTCTTACCTACCACAGTTCTTAGCAAAGATCCTAGAATCCGATTTATTACTTCGGTTTGTCCATCGGTTTGAGGATGACAAGAAGTGGAATAGAGAAGTTTTGTGCCAATCTTACCCCATAATACCTTCCAAAAGTGGCTTATGAACTTAGTGTCACGATCGGACACAATGGTGCGAGGAATGCCATGAAGGCAGACTATTTCTCGAAAGAATAAATTAGCAATATATGTGGCATCGTCCGTTTTATGGCAAGGAATGAAGTGTGCCATCTTTGAGAATCTGTCCACAACCACAAAAATACTATCTCGTCATTTCTTAGTGCGGGGTAAGCCAAGTATAAAATCCATCGATAAATCGATCCAAGGAGAAGAAGTAATTGGTAAAGGCGTATACAAACCATTAGGATTTACCTTTGACTTTGCTTGTTTGCACGTGATGCATGATGCACAAATCTTTTCCACTGTTTTACGCATGTGCGGCCAAAAGAAGTGTTCCATAACCATATCAAGTGTTTTGTGAATACCGAAGTGTCCCATAAGTCCTCCGGCATGTGACTCGTGAACCAAGAATTCTCGCAAAGAGCTTTGTGGTATACACAACCTGTTCATGCGAAAAAGAAAGCCATCTACAAGATAAAACTTGTTAAAAGCACCTTTTACACATTGTTTATAAATCTCAGAAAAATATGGATCGTTAGGATAAGTTCTTTGATATGTGCAAACCCAGAACAGTAGCATGCATTCGAGTGATAAGTGTGTATCGTCGGGTAATGCATCAGCTACGATGTTATCTTTCCCTTGTTTGTATTTGATGATGTAAGGGAAAGATTCAATGAACTCAACCCATCGAGCATGTCGTTTGTAAGTAAGCGATAGGTTGTCTTTCTTGCATGAGGACGACACCAATGCCTATGCCTGAAGCATCACATTCTAGCTCAAAGGTGTTAGAAAAATTGGGAAGACGAAGAATAGGGGCAGAACATAACTTATCTTTAAGAAGTTCAAAAGCTTTTTGTTGTAGTGGTCCCCATTTGAATTCAACTGACTTTTTGATGATCTCGGTTAATGGTGCAGCAATGGTTGAGAAATCTTTGACAAAGCGACGGTAGAAACTTGCCAAACCATGAAAAGATCTTACCTCGGTGATAGAAGTAGGCGTGAGCCATTCTTGAATTGCCTTGACCTTCTCTTTATCTACATGAATACCCTGTACACTAACTATAAAGCCTAAAAACATAAGCTTATCACTGCAAAACACACACTTATCCATGTTAGCATATAAATGTTCTCGTCGAAGAACTTTGAGAACCATTCGAACGTGAATGACATGAGAATCAAAAGAAGATGAGTATATAAGAATGTCATCAAAGTAAACGACAACAAATTTACCTATAAACTCCTTAAGAACGTGATTCATTAATCTCATGAAGGTGCTTGGAGCGTTTGTGAGTCCAAAGGGCATAACAAGCCATTCATACAAGCCGAACTTTGTCTTGAATGCTGTTTTCCATTCGTCACCTTCTTTCATTCGAATTTGATGGTAACCACTCTTCAAGTCAATTTTGGTGAAGATACTTGCACCATGTAGTTCATCCAATATATCATCTAGGCGTGGAATAGGATGCCTATACTTGATTGTTATCCGATTAATAGGTCGACAATCTACACACATTCGGAATGTGCCATCTTTCTTTGGAACTAGAATGACGGGAACTGCACAAGGACTAAGACTCTCAAGGATGTGTCCTTTTTGTAATAATGAATCTATTTGTCGTTCCAATTCCTTCGTTTCCTCATGATTGCATCGGTAAGCGGGGTGGTTTGGTATGGTTGATCCAGGGATGAATTCGATTTGATGTTCGATTCCTCTTGTAGGTGGTAAACCATCCGGTGGGTTGCTTAAGACATCTTAAAACTCCTGTAATAGAGAAGAAAACACACTAGGCAAATCTGTGATGTTAGTGATAGTTGATAAAATGGAGTCCTTGAAACGGACTAGAATGCACGGCCTATTTTGAAAAAGGGTATCTCTCATGTCTTTTGCACTCGCATAAATGTTTTGAGACACTCTTTTATTTTCACATTGAGGTTCACTCACCACCCGTGGGTCATTTGTTTGGCTTTTATCGGTTGTGACCTCTTTTGCCTTTTGTTTCAAATTCCCTGTTTCCTTGAGAATTCGTTGTTGATCTATGAGAATCTCTTTAGGGGTAGGGGGTTAAGTCGGAACGGATTACCTTTTATTGGAATTGTGTAAATGTTCTTTCGACCATAATATGTGACGTCATTGTCGTATTGCCAAGGTCGTCCTAAGAGAATGTGGGATGCTTGCATCGGAATTACATCACACCATACGTCATCACAATACTTTTCCATCTTGATATTAACGAGGCATTGTTTAACCACCTTCATCTCGGCACTCTCATTAAGCCATTGTAAGCAATAAGGTTTCAGATGTCGTTGGCAAGGAAGTTTGAGTGATTCAACAACATTGGAGCTAATGACGTTGACACAACTACCATTATCAATGATGATGGAGAATGGTTGTTCCTTGATTAGGCAGCGTGTGTGGAAGATGTTAGAACGTTGTATGTCAGACTCGTCGGATGCTTGGATGTTCAATGTATGACGGATCACCAAGATTGTGCCATTGTACTCATCGCTTCCATAGTCATCACTGTCTTCTTTGGCTTCGGCATGTGCTGGAATGTCGGCGAGGTCGTCATCAGAGTCAGAATTGTAAGATCCATCACCTAGTATGGTTAAGGTCCTCGTGTTGGACAATTGCGGCTGATGGCCTCTTCCTAAGCATTTAAAACACTTGATGTCTCTTGCTCGGGTGTCGTCTTTAGGGGCTGGAAGTGTCTCATTCTTCGCTAGTCGTTGTTTTTCTTTGTCGAGTTTGTCATCTCTCGACTTTTTTTGAGAAGATGGAGTAGAAGATGAGGAAGGATTTGAAGTATTACCTTGGTAAGAGAATGAAGTACCTTGGTAATGTTCTCTGAATCGGAATCTCCTTTGTATTTGTGCTTCGATTGTCATTGTTTTCTTTAGTGTATCTTCGAGGTTTTCGTACCCATAGAGATCAAGAAGATCAGTGATGTTTGAGTTTAAGCCAACGACGAATCTTGACATGGTGTCATCTTCTTCTTCAGTTATGTTAGCCCTATTGAGTAAGGACTGCATCTCCTTGTAGTAATCTTCAACTGAACTTCTACCTTGTCGAAGTCGGTGTAGTCGTTGTTTAACTTCTCGTGTATAATGTGTCGGTAGAAATCGGTTCCTCATGGCATGTTTGAGTTCGGTCCAAGACTGGTTGAATTTGGTAGTTGTCGATCTTTTTCCTTGTTTGCATCCACCAAGTGTGAGCAAATCCTTCGAATTCCAAGGTGATGAGGGGAACTTGTTCAGCTTGGGGGCAGTCATGGTATGCGAACAAGAGATCAACTTTTCCTTCCCAATCGATGTACTTGTCTGGGTCGTAGTCTCCTTTAAAAGACGGGATCGTGAACTTTGGTTTTGCAAAGAGTTCGGGTGTTTGAAAACGTGGTTGTGCTCGCCTGGGGGCCAAAAGTTCAGCATTGTTTGGCCTTGGATTCTGGTTTGGTTGATCCAGTTGTAGTTCTTGCCGTTCTCTCAAGGCATTGTTAAGTTGATCAAATTGAGTTGTGAGTCGTTCAAGTGCGGCTAAAATAGCCGTAAGTGTCTCATTGTTATTTGTCGCCCATCCTGCAATTATAACACTCAAAAGAAGATTTTAAAGTAGAATAAAATAAAATAAATTCAACAAAGCAAGAAACCTTACAAGTCACTCCAAGAAAGTAACACAACGAGAGGCAAGTAAGTCGATCTTGTACTCTTTAAAACTTACTTTACCAAGTAGTCTTTCACAGTTCGTATCGGAGTTTGATTACTAGCAAAGGCGATAAGAAAAACCTAAAAGCTCTAAGAGGCCAAACAAAGGTTAGACTCCAAGAGAACGAGAATGCAAAGAAGGAAGAAGTATGCAAACTCTTTAGTCCTACTAACACAAAGAAGATAATGCAAAAGAAAAATTACAAGGAAAAACAAAAGAACCTAAAGCACTAAGAGTCAAAGAAAAAGGGACCAAACCAGAAAACCTAGAAAACGCTGGATCAACTTGAGCAACGTTTTTGAGGGGGTTACCGGTGTCCAAAAATTCTGAAAAATTTCTTGAATGTCTTTCGATGCGTCAAGAAACCACCTGTAAAATTTCAGAACCAAATACCTTCAGTAGTATCCAGTAGACTCTGTTGAACGGTGAGTCCTCAAACAATATGTTTTTCTTGATCACTTTTTTCGAAGTTGTTCTTGATCTCCAAAAATTCTGATATTTTGTGTGAATGATCTCCAATATATATGAAGTTTCAATCTGGAAATTTTCACCACGAAATTCCTCCTGTAAAATTTTCAAGAAATTCGACAAGATTCTAAACCGAATCTGCCGATGAAACTTGAATGATGTATTTGAAGGCTCCAATGAACTCCGATTGGGATGAAATTTGGACTGGGGATTACTCTTAGAATGAATATAATATATGGATAAAATCAGCCCTAAATACCTTCGTTTGCAATTTTTTTGAAATTTTGGATTTTTTTGGCTTTTTTTGTTTTTTTGGCTTTTTTTTTGTTTTTTTGAAAAAAAAAATAGAAAACTAACAAGAAGGATTTAAATCTAAATTAAAATTAAATAAAAAGAACCTGAAACGCTGAATCGTTTATGAACTAGCTCCGTTGGGGTACCTTGACGGTTTTGTGTGCAAGAACAAGCAAGATTGCTTGTTTCTCTCCAAGAATCAGCCCAAATCTGATACCAATTGATAGGGAAGCGGTGGCGGATTGATGAACGTTGCTCTTGTTGAAGAATCAAACCTAGAAAAGCTCTAGACTCGATGAAGAACAATAAGGAATGAATGAGGAAGGTGGCGACAATAGCTAGGGTTCTTTAGGGTTTCTTTTAGTGCTAGAAACAAGAAAAGAAACAAGATTAAAATAAGATAAACAAAAGATAAAGGAATTAAGAATAGAGAAAATAACCAAGAAATCAAAGATCTCCCTTATGAAAGTGAACGGTAAAGATGATTGATGGCGTGGATGGATGTGGAAAATCGATGGATAATGTCCTATCGAGCCCTCCTAGTCGCAATGAAAAGGCAAATATGATAATATGGCTCTAACCAACCCTCCTAGTCGCGATGAAAAGGCAAATTGGAGTGTGAAGATTAATCTCCCTCACAAGAACTTGAAAGAACTCCAGGAGAAGAAGCTTCGAAGGCACAAGGCAATTAGCACTTGCAAAAACAAACTCTTGTTGTATTATTGATCAAAGAAATCTGATTTACAAAGTTGAATGAAGCCTCCTTTATATAGGGGCCGAATTCTAAAGGTCCTAAATAACTAAAGAATAAAATATTAATAAACTAAACATGTTTTAACTCTAATTCCTAATAAAATAATAATAACTAAAAATATTGTTTTAATCCAACCTTAATTCCTAATAAAATAATAAATCTGATCCTAAAAGATAATTAATCATCCTATATTAAATTATATTACAAATAATCAATATAAATATTGAAAATTCGTAATATTTACAAAATAACGTATTAATCCCGTATAGGATTTCCTGCATGCACCGTCTTCAGTAAAATGACCATATATTGAGTTCCCGATATCGGATTGATGCGATTCAAGAACCGTTGGAAAGATAAGAGACAGACGGTTGTATCTCCAGAAGACATGTCGACCGGATAACAACTGGATCCCGTTCAAAATGTTGTTGCAAATCTGCTGCTATTAGACCCTTCCGGATGAATGCTTGAATTGCGATTTGAAGCTTGTCTTTAAGAAGTTTGGTCCGGCCTCATGTGATAGGGCCAAGTGGTATAGTAAATTCATCATCCTTAGCTTTAGGGCATGTGGTGCATGTATCAGGTGCCACCATTGTTCAATTAAGGTCGGTTTATGTTGTATTCTTTTTTATCACTTAGCATGACCTGAATATAGGAACTGGTTCTACAAAACTGTTTTTGGATTTGTTTGTTTATGGTAAAAATAGTGTCACTTGCTTTTGCAGAGAGAAGGATGCTGAAACAAAGGACTTTCTGGAATCTGCAAAAGCATGTCTTGAAATTTTCCGTTCACATGGAGTTCCTCTGCTGATTAAAGACCGTGTTGATGTTGCCATTGCTTGTGATGCCGATGGTCTGACATGCCTGCTCACGCCGTTCGCACTTTTCTTGGTCCAGAAAAGATCATCGGCATCTCTTGCAAGACACCGGAGCAAGCTCAACAAGCATGGGTTGATTGTGCTGATTACATCGGGTGTGGCAGTGTATATCCAACCAACACCAAGGAAAACAATACCACAGTTGGTTTGGATGGGCTGAAAACAGTTTGTATGGCTTCAAAGTTACCTGTGGTGGCCGTTGGTGGAATTGGTGTGCTGAATGCACGTGCTGTGATGGAAATCGGTGTACCAAGTCTGAAAGGTGTTGCTGTTGTTTCAGCTCTTTTTGATCGGGAAAGCGTACTGATCGAAACAAGGTTAACGGGATCTAACATTGGTGGTACGTGACAAGTTTTATGATTTGATTCTGATAGTTAAACTTTCCCAATATGAGTTAATATGAAATAAACGTGTTTATTCTGCAGATGATTATGTTATGATGATATTGGACAAGTTCTTGTATTTGATTCGCCTGAAATCAACATGCGTTTTATTCCTCATTAATCCTTTACAGTCTCCATGTTCAAATATTCGTATAAGAATATGATGATTCAATTATATAAAAGGGAAAATAAAAAACAGACTCTATCCGACACTTGCAAGTTGCAACAAAACCTAAATAACATAGCTATGAGAAGAAAACAGGAACAAGGCGAGTATGATATATAAATGCTGGCTTTTAACATTTCAATGAGTCACTCCTCCTGGCAAAAGATTTTTATGGAAAGAAATCAACTTACAAGTCTCGCATATCTTCCATCATACTCTAAAAGTATAGACCTTTAATGACCCACAATTGTGAAGATTCGATTCGGGTTATTGGGTAGGCTTCAAAAGCCAGTAGCTCCAACTTCCAACATCAGTAGCAACACTCTCTAAACAATCACGCTAAGACTGCACAAAGTTCTTGCCCAAGACACTAATTTACAGATTGTTTATTCAACACCAGGTCTTAGGTAGAAACCAACATCATATAAACTCGCGACCAAACGCAGACCTCGGAATGAAAAGCGTATACTGCTAACATTCAAGAGACATGAACTTCTCCACTAGCATGTACCTCCTTTACCGTCTTCTCATACTCGTCTTCTTCTTCTTCTTCTTCCTCCTGCTCTGCATCTTCTTCCCTTGCATCCTCATCTTCTTCTCCACCCCAACCAAAGCCTCCAATAGACCGTGATATTCGAGGAGCTACTTTAGCCTCTTCAACTATTTTCATGATTTCCTCAACAATTTGAAGGGAAAAAGTTGGGTTTTCTTTCCTGTAATAGACAGCTTGAGCTGCTTCAGTCAGTTCCCTGGGCAAGTTCTTCAAAAACCATGGATGGCTCTTGATATCTTTGATGCTGATTCTCTGTAAAAACACACCCTAAAACAGTGAGAGACCCAGAGGGAGAAAGCAAGAAAGGAAAGGCAAGCTTGTCAAGGATGATGGAAGGATGACAGCCGATCATAGGCAACCACTACAAGGATAGCAATTTAGAAATGGGGATGGCCTGTTTTACATGCCCCAAAACTTCATGTAAAGGAAAAGAACCTCTGGCTATCGTACTTTATTGTTATTTAGCTATGGACAAGCAACAGTTCAGTTAGAATATGACCAACTCTGCCTCTGAAAGTTATCTTTCCATGCATAAGTAGAAGAAAGTAAATATATGTCATGTGCTTAGTGCATGAAAGAAATGGTGGAGAAAACACACACACACACACAAGCATGTATAACAAGAATCCTATCATGCCAATAGCCACAAGTGTATAAATAATTATAGGAGAACAAATATTTGCCCATATGTTGAACAAGTTCTGTAACAACAGTTCATACCTTGGAGGGGCTAGCAACAAATATGCGAGAAAGGAGATATTTGCAATCTTGAGATATGTGAACATAGTCTGGGATTTTGTATTGAACTGACATTATTCTCTGCAAATAAAATAAAGAACATTAGAAGTCATAAAGAAATTACACAATCGAGGATAGTTAAAAAATGGATGTTCAGAAGTATGTAGCTCACACTAATAGTTTTCCTAAAATTCTTTGGATCCTCCTGGTCCTCAAATGGGTAAGCACCAACCAACATAACATAAAGAGTCACTCCACATGACCATACATCTGCCATCTGAAAAAGGAATGCAATCCTAAAATTAATCACAAACAGAAAATGAGAAGACTTTATATCTCTGCTTTGGAAAGACTTAAAAGAAATCCAGACCTCAGTTTCTCTTTGCCAAATATCTTAGAAGCTATTGCTTTCATGATCGTTAAAATGAAAACCTTCATGATAAAGTGCACTACTAGTAGATATCCAATCAATTGATAAATATTCTGAGCAAGATTATAATCACCCTCAACAATTCTTAAAATATTATCAGGTAACATCAGTTTATCTTTATTCTTTAGAACAGTAAGTTAAGGCATCAACTACTCCATCACAAAACTATTTAGCATAATAACACAATCATAACTGAAAAACCCTAGTCTCGTAAACAAGCCACTATCAACAATATTTGAACAAAAGTAGATAAAGACTAAATTACCTTGCCATCGTATTCTCTCCGAGAAAGAACTTCTGGTGCAATATAAGCTGGAGTACCAACAGTTGACTTGGGTCTTGAATGCAGCAGAGATGACTAAAAGGGGTAGAAGGAAACATCTTAAACAACAACAATTGTGACATGCATTTAATTATGCTGACTGTAATAATCCTATTTTCAGTATTACCTTTGAGTAACCAAAATCACATATTTTCAGACGAGGAGCAGGGCTCCCATCCAACAAGGTATTCTCTAACTTCAAATCTCTATGGCATATTTGCTGAAAGTCAGAATGGGTAAATATGAGAAGCTTGCCCAAAAATAGGGACAACTGTAACATCCTGTAATATATAGAACGTTAAAATCTTATTTACCATGGAATGACAGTAGCTAACTCCTGAGATCAGCTGCTGGAAAAAATATCTGGCCTGAAAACATCACATTAGACAGATCACCGCCAGCGGAAAGCTAAAAAACATGAAGCATCCCCATCTTACTTGGAGAGTAATGCAGGATTATTCAATGATAAGATGAGACATTTCATCTCATACTAGTTTCTATATCAATTAAGAGGGAAAAAGGAACATAACAAATGTAGCCAGCAATAAGTAAAAGAGAACTCAAACTAAAGTAAACATCATCAATCTCCCCCTTTTCTTTTCTTTTTGCAGAAAAGCATCTATTCAATAGGCAACAATTTCGAGATCGATGCTAACCTCATCTTCACTAAACCTTCCAGCGTTGCAAATTCGCTCGAAGAGTTCACCACCAGCTGCATACTCCATCACAATTGCCAGATGTGTAGGAGTCAAAACAACCTTCAAATTAAAAAGGAGAAAAATAACATTAAATTCAGAACATCAATGTAAAGGAAAAAAATGGAAGAGCATAATATTGGAGTACCTCTTTGAACCGAATTATGTTAGGATGACGGAGCGATCTATGATTTATTATCTCTCTTGCCACATTCTCATCAATCTATTACAAAAGATAAAATGTACAAAATTCCCAATTTTCTTCAAATACAACAACAATAATAAAAAAAAAACAATAAAACATTAAATTCAGCTGCATATTTCAATCTCTATGAAACTATCGGCAATGATTTCGTTAAAGAGTAAATATTAATTTTCCCAATGAGAAAAAAAAACTAAATACACGCCATACATGCATGCATAATTCACAGATACATATATGCAAATGCATCATACAAAAAAAAAACAAAGAAAATTAAATGAAGGAGAAGGGAACCTTATGGCCACGGTCGATATACTTCATGGCGACGAGTTCTTTGGTTTCCTTGTTACGCATCAGCCTGGCTACACCAAAGTTCCCAGATCCTATGTCTTTCACCAGCTCGTACTTCTCCATTTTTTCTCTTTTATATATATAACAAATAAATCAGAATAATCAAAACCCTAACTCAATTATTCACAAATCGAAGCAGATATCGATTTATACGCAGCACATTACAAATCGAAACTGGTGGCGGCGGCGGGCGGCGGAGGTGAAGGTGGTGGAAGTGCAGGTGGAGGTGGGAGATTTGGAGAGATTTGAAGAAAAAGGTAAAGAATTTGGAATTTTTAAAGTCTGAGAAAAAAAACAAATGAGAAAATAACTTAAGTTACAAAAAAATGCTAATAATATACTATTTTAACCAATTTTTTTTGGATTTGTCAAAATGACCAACTAAATCGCAATGCGATCGATAATTCGCAACGCGATCTCCGGTATCGCAAATCAGTTTCCAGATTCGCAACGCGATTCTGACTATCGCATTACGATTTCCCAAATTCGCGTTGCGATTTTCCTAATTCGCAATGCGAATACGTAAATCGCAACGCAAATTTGATAAATCGCAATGCGAATACGTAAATCGCAATGCGAATACATAAATCGCAATGCGAATACATAAATCGCAATGCGAATACGTAAATCGCAATGCGAATCTGACTATTGCAATGCGATTTACATAGCGCCATTCGTATCCAACGCGTATTTTTTTTTTCAAATTTCAAACACGAATATATTAATATATCGAAACACTGAACCGTCTACAGTATATCCCGTAATCGCAACTCATAACCTAAAACCCTAAATCACAACTCAGTCTCATCTCCATCTCTCACTCTCTAAGGTGACATCCGTCCCCATCTCCGACGAAATCAGTCCCCATCACCGACGATATCAGTCTCCATCTCCGGCGAAATAATTCACAGTCAGAAATGGAAAATCAACCAAATCAACCACCGATGGTTAGTTTTTTTAATTATTTTTATTTTGAAAATTTTGTATTATTATTAGGTTTTTCATATTGAAATTGATGATAAGTTTACTGGTGTTTTCAATAATAGATTAACCATTTCACTTAGATTGCTTATTATATTCATTCGATTGCTGTCAATACTGCTAAACTGTTTAGTCTTTAACCCTATGAAGTTAGTATTTGTCTTTGTTTTGTCTTTTGGTTGAAGTAATGCAATCCATTCAAGTTTCTTTCAATTTTAGTATTTGAAACCGAGAATGACTATCGCAATGCAATTCTGTCGTTGCGATTTTCATTTCGCGTTGCGATTCTTGCGTTGCGATAGTCAAATTCGCGTTGCGATCGTCATTTTCGTGTTGCGATTTTCATTTTCGTATTGCGATTTAAAGTTTCAGAAACTATTCTTCTTCTGCAAATTGAAACTTGAATGAATTGCATTACTTCAACAAAAAAACAAATACTAAATTCACAGTGTTGCAAATTTAAGTTTGAAGAATAAACTACTACTCTTTATGTTTATTGTTCATATCTTCACATTGTAGTTTTTGGTATATCTAAATTGGTATGTTTATTATTTTTGCAG